ATAGCTGGCCAATCACAGCTCACCTCGCTTTTTCAGACCGATGAGTTTTGTAAAAATCGACGCGTTTCAGAAAGGCGGGGCATAGAGGAGAAGCAATAATGTACAGTACGTGGAAAATAATGTGTTTTTTTAACCTTAAACCGCATAAACACATTTCATTACACCAAATACACAAAATAATGTTCTTTTTATCAGCATCATATGACCCCTTTAAGAACCATTTGTTTCATGGCAAAGTCCTTGCGTTAAAGCAATAGATATAGGATATGTGAGTTTCGATTGACCATCAGACAGAATTTAGGAAATCTAAGCTGCATACTGACTCCTGAAATTATTTCAGGAGAGGAAAGATGTCTATGGGAATAAAGAAACAATAAGGGGTGTCACACATACTTCTGTGCTCAAAACTGTCTTAATCCATCCTCTATCACTTATCACCATTGTATCCATTTATCTCAGCCCTTTGGATAATCTAATATCGTTTCAGCAGTTAATTACAGACATTAACACAAAGATAAGTCTCTTTGAACCCTCATCGGATTTCACAGCAGTGGAGGGAAAATCCCTTCTCTTTGTTGACTGTACTCCGTACGTCGGATGGGCTTCTTGTGATAGTAACACAATACCGGTCATACATCCTTCCCGCAGCTCGACTTGTTTTCTGTTCTTGTAAGGTGCTGACAGTCATATTCCCCTTCGGGATCTAGATTAGCCGTATTGCTTCAATCAGGGGTCACCACTATCCTGAATGAGAATTTGATTGATGTTTCAAGATCTGTGTTGAAGACGACTGAAAGGACAGCAGACTTTGAGCGGACTGGTGAAGCTAGACTGTTTTTGGACTGGGTTCTGATTATATTATTGCAGAAAATGTATGTGGTGAAATACTTCCTTCTATTTCAGCTTTATGAGCACAGACAACTATAAGACAGACATCTGTTGTGATCTGTTTGCTCTATTTGTTTGAGCATCTTGACCATCCTGGCACAGCATGATCAAGCAAAGAATTCAAAAGAAAAACACAATAACCACAATATCAATATTGAGAAGCAAAGTAAGAGAAGTCTTGTTTTCAGAAAATATATATTGAATAAAGTTGTTTTTTTACTGCATCGACAGCTTTTTTTTTGTCTTGTTGAAAGCATAAAATTCATTTTAGTGAGGTTTATCCTAAAAAAATGAAATGCAAAAAACACAATATCCTATCAATATCAATATCGAGAAGCAAAGTAAGAGTCTTGTAAGTCTTGTTTTCAGAAAATCTTTTTTTTTTGTCTTGTTGCAAGCATAAATCTATCTTATTTTAGTGAGGTTTATCCTAAAATGCATTAAGGATGTGAAATGTGTTAATTCACACATTTCAACACATCTAAAAGATTTTGTTATCTTACATAATTTTGCTTCCTAAACAAAATGCATACTGCTTTAGGTCGGTTTAGATATTTGTAATGGAAAAATATAATACTGATCATTTCAACTTGCCATTAAAACTTATGAGGCAAGGTATATGTTAAAAGCAGGTGGAGAGTTTATATTTTTGATAAAGCACTTACATGAATGTTTCACTGAAATTTTGTGTTATTTGAGCTGTAAAGTTGTCTGAATTGTCAGTTCAAGGTGGACCTATTTTTTTAACCTAGAGGAGTATCTGATGGTGCATTACCAACATCATTCCTCCAGACTAAGGTGTTGTTCACACAGAATGCATTATTGTGTTTCGCTGTGCTGCTTTGCATTGTTTTTCAGTGTAAACATTAGTTACGGTAAGGCCAGTTCTTTTTTACAAATAGTTTTTTTCAGACAGTTTGTTTTAATAAACCAGTTTGTTCACGCAATGACGTCATGTATACGTGATGCTATTAATAATGAACCCAATAATGATGATTTTTACATAAATCAAGACAAAGCCATAAGAAATACACATTTCAATCCTGTTTATGAAACCCTCAGCAAACAGTTCTCAGCATGTTGGAGCATGCTTTAAGCAAGCGCTTTAAGGGCTTTATGGCTTCTATGCTGTTAAGGGTCTAGGCCAATGTGAATTGTATGGCTGACACCAGAACACATCCATGATGGAGAATAAGATCGCACACACAGAGTACTGAAAGGGTTAAACTATATGACTTAATAGATACTGTATTAATACACACTAAGCATGCTCACAAACACACATACACATTTTTTTGTAGATATAGATATTTAAAATAACTGATAGGTAACAAAATGCTTACTGTATGTCTGCTGTTTATGACACCATTTTTCAGGTTTAAATTTAATCATAATGTGGCATAATTGTAAAAACTGATATGTCTGTATAAATGCATTGGTAAACTTTGAGTAAACGTCAGTTTAAATGTAATAATAATGATTTTATAATGTGTAAATATAAATTATAATAAAATTGCAATTTCAGGGAATTTACTATAGAAATATAGTGCTTTAAACCTTTATATAACTATTACAGTGTCATTTTTTGTCCAGTTTCAATAAAATTGTGCATGCTTTTGTAACGAGATAAATTATTATAGTTTGGGGGTTCTTTAAGTTAATGGGATCGCACTTTCTGTTGGTTATGCCGGTGGAGCTGTTGCCTTGAGCTTGAACGATCTGCAGCAGAGCTAGGGAAAAATGCTGTAGGTGGAGCTCTAACATGACTACATGACTAACTATTTTCGGTCTCTTCTACTGCTCTGTGTGTGGGTGACTGCAAATTAATTCCAATATCATCCACATTCAGAGTGCTTGTCCTGGTGAAGGGTGGGACCGAGTCAGATAAAGCCAAAGGTCACATTGGTGCCGTGACCCAGATGGGAGTGAGGCTCAGGGGGGTGAGTGTAACAGACGCCAGCTGGTAGGTGCTGTGCAGGTAAACCTCACTCACCTGGGGCCAGTTGCATAAAAGGTTTAGACTGGATTTACAAGTTAGTCATCTAATTTTTTCTTTAAGACTATTCATAATTTTTTTTAATTCAGTTAAATAAAAGCATAGATTAGTCTAAGTTAATTCCAAAAATAAGACTAAGACTGATTACTTATTGGCTGCTAGTTGGTCAAACTCGTACTTAAGACACTGTCTTAACATAAAGGCTAAGTTTATGCAACTGGCCCCAGATCTCAAGGGGCGCACTAGCGCTGCAGTCTTTAGCCTCCTTGTTAGTGCACATCTACACGGGTTCAAGTCCCACTCGAAGCAGGTGCGAGTAGGACCCGGGGGGTTACACTTGTTTAGAATCATACGATGCATGAGTTTACAGAGTTTTGTGAAGTTTTGAGTTTTCTTTGAGGATTCATAGGCTTTTGGGTACACTAGATCAAGACCATATTTTTAATTGACCCTGTTATAGCTGACCAAATGCAAAGGTTACATTTTTTTTTGTTAATTATTGGCCTGAATTGTACTGCACTGATTTTATTGATTTTTGAATTAAAAAAACAGCAAAGTAGGTTTTTTTTTAAATAATCCCAAATATTTAAAGAACGATTTGATTGACAGCAGTAGTCCTAGAGGCAAATTTGTATTTCAGAATGAGTAGATCGATCATATGATATGAAGATCTAGTGTATGTGTGAATATACAGTGGGTACGGAAAGTATTCAGACCCCCTTAAATTTTTCACTCTTTGTTATATTGCAGCCATTTGCTAAAATCATTTAAGTTAATTTTTTTTCCTCATTAATGTACACACAGCACCCCATATTGACAGAAAAACACAGAATTGTTGACATCTTTGCAGATTTATTAAAAAAGAAAAACTGAAAAATGCTCAGTATTTAGTAGAAGCACCCATTTGATCTAATACAGCCATGAGTCTTTTTGGGAAAGATGCAACAAGTTATTCACACCTGGATTTGGGGATCCTCTGCCATTCCTCCTTGCAAATCCTCTCCAGTTCTGTCAGGTTGGACGGTAAACGTTGGTGGACAGCCATTTTTAGGTCTCTCCAGAGATGCTCAATTGGGTTTAAGTCAGGGATCTGGCAAAAAAATTAACTTAAATGATTTTAGCAAATGGCTGCAATATAACAAAGAGTGAAAAATTTAAGGGGGTCTGAATACTTTCCGTACCCACTGTATGAGCAAGCCTGTTGTAGACATGTGAGTTCTACTATCCCTCTAATTTTCAAGTCTCTACAATTTACAGTTTGGTCTACCCGATAAGTTTTAAGTGGAGAATGCTGATCCTTGGCCATTCTAACAATTACAATAGGGTTTCAGCGCTACACGCGTGAACCCCTAAAAATCCCAAATATTGGCCTATATATTGACCTGGTTGATTGGTCGTCCACTAGCACAGTAACTGGACAACAAATCAAATTTCTAGCATGATCATATTTGCTGAAATTGCAGCTGCCTAACACCACTTCTTTTGAAATTACTCAGACACACATGCTTCTGTCTAGTTGTGTGTGTGTGAAACAAAACTGCATCTCCATCTGAAATAGATTTGACTGAGCAAATAAAGAGAAATGCAAAATAAGCATAAATGATACTTACATATAATGGGGCTTGACAAGGACTAAGTTTCATGACTCTGGACACTGAAAAGATAAAAAAAAAAAAAAACAGTATGAAGTCAGTGCAAACAAAGCTGTACATCATCAGATCAACCAGAATACTGATGCCGTTTTCAGCCTAATTATAAAAGGAGGTTTATGATTCAATAAGTTTGAGCATGAAAATACCCTCAGCAAATGTGGAACTAATTCAAATTAGCACCTCTACTGACAATACAACAGCTGTTTGATAAATGGCACTTCAGGCCTAAAAGATATTCATGAGTGTGACTCACACCTTCAGAGTGCAAGACATGCTAAAATACACTGCTGATTCACAGGCCTGTAATTACCAGAAAAGTGATGTGTTTAAATGTTTAAGAGAACACCAAGTTCATGGGTGAATCTCACGAAACATGTCAAGATGATGTCCTGGTCATATTTCACGGCAAAAATCAAAAGAAAGAGACAGGCGGGGCCGTTCTTGGGGGGGGGCAACTGGTGCGGCCACACCGGGCCCCGCGGGGAACGAACCGAGGGGGATGTTTTTATGCCGTTTACCCTCATAGAACAAACTAATTCTTTAATTAACAACCAGTCTGACATGCAATACATCAGCCAGCCATTCTTTCATTGGTTAAAACAGCGCTGCTATATTTAAGGTGAAAGGTGAAAAGATAAACAGACAGCTCTAATAATACCCATCCTAATCCTCTTCTCTTGTACTCGGATTGCTCTACCTTCCCTCTTCACACAACCTTTACATTTTACCTTTAATATCCGGTTTTGCAATGCAAATTACTTTGTTTTCAGCATCGTCTTGTTTTCCAGAAGAAAACATATCAGCACACATTTACTTGGGAGGCAAAATTGTGTAAGATAAGTTTTGTTCTCAGAAAATACACATTCACACATTTTCTTGCAACTTCTTTTTTTCTCTATAGCTGCTTTTAACACTTTATTTTAAAGACCAATTCTCAGTATTAACTAGCATGCATATTACTAGCGTGCTCTCTGTTTATTAGCAGTTATATATACATACAAATATTTGAATATATTTATGATTTCATGCTAATTAGTAACCCTGCATTGGTACACGGTCTCTCAATACTCCAAATTCATTAACATTAGAACTAGGTTAAGAATAAATACACGTGTATGAATGTTTTGTGAATAAGGCAGAATTTTTTGTGAGAAGTCCTTCAATGCGTATGAATATGAATAATCTATGCAATTATTAGTTAATGAATTAGTTAGTGATTTCTTCTGTGCAGGACTGAAACACCTGGCTGAACCTGAATGCAGTAATGACCAGTGAAACTGCCTTTAAGCTGTCTAACATTTCACTACAATACACCTGTGCTGTAAGATGATATATACCTATATAAGCTTATACTTCAAATGGCAATACGTGGAGTTCATCTACATCAAAGGAGAAACATGGCTTCCCACCTTGAGGTGTGGCTCTTCTGGGTTTCTTTTCATAATGTTCTATTGCACAAAGAGTAATACCAGCAACAATTTAAAAGGGGAAGTTGTTTCATCACACACAGGCACTGAAACACTTTGCTGATGTGACAATAACAAAGATCAAATATAGATTTCCTCCCAGCTGAAATGGTTACGGAAACCTCTTTCTCTGACACCTGCTTATTTATAGTAATGAACAATACTGACTTCATGAGGACGGAGGGAAATTCCTGGAGACAAACTGAGTTTTATCAACACGGGCATTTAGAAACAGTTATATGAACAGACTGAGGTAGAGCTGGGTACATATACATATTATATATAGGTATATATATTTATACCACCTGCATAGGGCTGCATGATTAATCGAATGCGATTGTTATGCGCATTTTGTTCAGCCCTACACCTGCAGGGATGATGTATTTTTGTAGGCCAATTCAGAAGTTAACATCATCGATCCTTTATATTCATCCTCCCGGTTTCCACAAAAATATTGATCAGCATAAATGTTTTCAATATTGATAATAATAAGAAATGTTTCTATAGCAGCAGATTTCTGAAGGATCATGTGACACTGAAGACTGATGCTGAAAATTCAGCTTTGCATAACAGGAATAATTCACATTTTAAAATATAAATAGAGAACCCTTATTTAAAATTGTAATAATATTACATAATCGAAACTTGACGTTAAATTTCAAGCTTGAGCACTAGAGAATTACTGAAAAACCTATCAGCATGTTTCACCCTCAAACGAAGCGTTCCATCGCATGATGATCCATGAGGACCCTGCAATCAATGTCTTTTCGAATTCCATGCATCTGCAAAATGACAAATTATAATAATTCGATCTGACCTAACAATCGGGGCAGCTTATCTGAATTATGAGATAATTATCATGTGTCAAGACTCTGAATGGAGGCCCAAGAAGATTATTAGGCCTTTGAGTTTGGGTAAACCTCAGTGATCAGCATAGTGCAACTTTTGTGCGGCAAAATACTGCACAGTCAATGTTTAAAACAAGCAATAACATGCTCAGGTACTGGCCTTGGTAGTGTCGAAATAATCAGGGCTGCATAAGTGCCTCAGGTGTGAAATTTAATTAGCGGACAACGTTGCTGAAGAAACAGCTACTTTTGTTTTGCTTTTTAATCTTTTTTGCCCCCAAGTGATATAACAAACCCCTACTCTATATTAAAATGTATTTCTATATCAAATAAGCCTGTCTTTTTTAAACAAAGCAGAGTAATTATGCACACACTATAGGAGTAATTTCATACAAAAGACCGCAATATATATGTATATGAGTCCAATCTAATTCTAGCTGGATAGTTAGATGAATATGAATTATCATAAACCCTAGAGGTTTCTGATATGACATGACAGTCGTTCTCAGCTGGTGGGTTGCAACCCAAAGATGGGCCACAAGTCTGATCTGATAAGTTTGTGGACAACAGGAAAGAAAATGCTAAATTCAAATAATGAAAAAGTACAATAAAGATTCTTCTATACCACTATATGCTTATACAGAGAAAGAGAGACAAAGAGAGAGAGAAGAACCTAATCCAATGAGGAAGTATTTTGTATTAGTAGTAATGACACAACTAAATTATTTTTTAACGACACCAAATTTAAAGTTTTCCTTTAGCTGAAAAACAAAACCAAAACTTAATAAAGTTAAAAAACGTAATTAAATTTAGGTAATTGGGTAATTATTTGTTGTTCAGGGTGTCATGTTCTTTAAGGAAAAGTTCACCCATAAAAAGAAAAATTGCTGAAAATATACTCACTCTCAGGCCATCCAAGATGTAGATGAGTCTGTTTTTTCCATCAGATTTGGAGAAATTTATCATTACACCACTTGCTCACCAGTGGATCCTCTGCAGTGAATGGGTGCCGTCAGAATGAGTGTCCAAACAGTTGATAAAAACATCACAATAACCCACAAGTAATCCCCATGATTCCAGTCCATCAGTTAAAATCTTAAAAAAGTGAAAAACTGCGTGCTTGTAAGAAAAAAAATATTAAGGCATTTTAACCACCCATAATAACACTTCTCCCAGTGAAGCAGTCTACCCCCTGTTGTCCTCCACAGACGTATTTGTTTCCAACTGTTTTGGACTGGATTTCACTTTTAAACGGTGCTTGATTTGTACATATTTCTCTCCTGATTCAGACAAGATGACTTTTTAGGGGAGAAAGCAATATTATAGATACAGGACTCGTATGTTAGATGGAAGCAACGGTTTAAAGATAAAAACGTCTTAATGATGAATTTGTTTTTTACATGCAGCTTTTCACTTCACAAGATGTTAACTGATGGACTGCAGTGGTGTGGATTACTTGTGGATTATTGTGATGTTTTTAATCAGCTGTTTGGACTCTTATTCTGACAGCACCCATTCACTGCAGAGGATTCATTGGTGAGAAAGTGATATAATACTAAATTTCTCCAAATCTGTTCCAGTAAAGAAACAAATTCAACTAAGTTGGACATACCACCCACTCCTAGTATGAATAGCCAAATAAATAGGTTTACAATATAGGTAGGGCACTATTTTTGTGGGTTTCAGGCATTATTCAGATTATTCAGACACCACATGACCAAGTTCAGTGCAGTTGCTTGCCAATTGTGTGAGCAAAAACTTGATCGTACTATACAGAAAATTGTACAGCATCAGGTATATACCACTGTTTTTGTTTCAAGCACATGGAACAGCAACACTCAATAGTGACATCTGATACTGGTGTCCCTTACTGACACCTGATCGTGACTACTGAGCCTGCTTCGTTTTTACATTTGAGAAAAGACTTGGCAAGATCAGCCAGTATAAACATGTTTGGTTTAAACACATATAGCTTAACTGGGAAAAAAAGAAGTATAACAAACAGGAATTTCAGTTTCTCCCTGCATCAAAAATGAGACATCAGATAAACATCTGCAAAGAACTGAAAAAGTGAATGAAGTAGTTCTCAGTGACACGAGTCTCAAGATTTGTCATGAATGTCATAGTGCAATATTATGTCAACAATAAACCCGAGTCATTATGAATGCAAAATTATAAATTGTCCTTCTGGGTGTGGAAACTGAGTGCTATTAAATGTCATTTGAGACATAAAGCTTCTTTTATTACTCTGACCTGAAAAGACCACACCTTCTGATCAATGCACGTTTTGAAGTGGTTCCTGATCTACTGCAGTTCAAAAGCTGCAGTGAAATTGTAACTGTTTGTAGTCTATGGAGTTCTCCAGAAAGCCACATTAGTAATGCTTGAGTGAGTGTGTGTGTGTGTGTTTTGGGGGAGGGTCACAAATGAAAGGTGTGGAGGTGGAGCTTGATGTGTAACTATTTGGTTTGTTTGAATTGCCATAGCAACAATGATTGAAACTTCAAAGCATGAGGGCCACAGTTCTGTCCAAGACCATGAGATAAGTGTTACAGCTGGAAAACCACAGCATATTTATCAACATACCCATTGAAAACCATCTGTTTAATCAGATCTCTACCTGACAAGACAAGCAGCACTTTTATTCCTCAAACACTACCATTTAAAAGCTTGGGCTCAGCAAGATTTTTTAAAGACATTTATGCTCAAGGACACATTCAATTATGATAGTAAAGACATTTTTGTTATATTTCCATTTTTTTTAAATTATTTCTACTTTCTTTTAGGCTTGCTGTTGTGGTCTATGTGTTCGACGGTACACTGAATACATTACTTGCCCACCGCGGTACTGCCCCCACTGTATTTTTGCTTTTTATAGAAATAAAAACTATTTAGTTCAGTTGGACAATGGATGCTACAATTGTAAACTGAAAGCATCTGTTCTGCTCCATATAGCGCACGCTCCAAAGCCACAGCACAGTCAAAGACTATAGAAAACCCAAGACGTGTCACTCGGAATGGGCAAAAATGCAACGCTCAATATGGCCGCTCTATCGAAGGAAGCACCGCCTTCTGAATAAAAGAGCCAATCACTAATCAGTAAAGTAATGGCACTTCAGCTGCCGTTAGAAGTCCCGGTTGCTATAGTAACAGTCAGCGTTCTGGAGATTTGCGATTTAAAATGCTATTTTAAAAAACTCCAGTTCACGTTAATTAAAACTCCAGTACAATTCTGTACACTGTAGAAAAACATGGATTATGTCTACTTCAAATTTCTTTTGAGAGAAGTATTATTTTTTTATGGATTGGCCATTATTGCACGCTATAAACACATGTAATGTCTGGAAGCCGGAGGGTGCCCTCGCACAGAAACCACATATGCATCACAAAAGTAATAGAGCTCCTGATGTTCCAGGAAATCCCTAATATGGACAAAGACATCCAGCTGTCGCTGTAGCTGACTTAAAAGAGATAGAAACGTTTTGAATGACGCAACATTAAGACAATAAACACTCGACTGCGACAATGTATAGTTTATCGGTGTTCTTCAAGCCGTCTCGGGTATTTTCATAATAATTTTGTATATTTATAATCCATTGCTTATCAACATAACCTTTTTTACAGTATAGAATATATTTTCTGACACATTCTGTGATAAGAAGCCACATCAGATCACAAAAGTTATTTCAAACACTCAACTGATGTTGTGGAGTAAAAACATGTTGTAATGTTCTCTTTTGTTGGACAGCAGGTTTAGAAACGCTTCTCATTACAAGTCATAGTCATCACGGCGTGTGTTGTTTTCAAATTTGCGTTATAAGCGGGGAGGCGTTTCCTCATCTCAGCACGCAGACTCACGGACACACACAAACAGAGCCAGTTCGGAGAGAAATAAAACGCACAGAAATTATTTAAAAGCAAAATCGAAAAAAATTAAAGAAATAAATTAAAAATACAACAACAAAAAAAACACAAATTAATGACTACTGTACTGTGCTCGCTTAAGAAATCAGACGGCGGGAATAGAGGGGGGATCGAGCGGGATTTTGTGTTGCTATCGATCTGCGGCCTCTTTTTAATGAAAGGCCTCACGCATTTCTCAATCATGCCTGCTTGCTATTTAGGGAATGAACCCAGCGTTCTGATTGGTCGAACTCTTCTTCTTTTGCTGTTGCTTGATTTGAGTACTATGCGTGCACAGGCGTCACCAGGTTTTTGCATATTTTAGAGCGACAAATCGTGCCAGCGTACTTTCAGGTTAAAATGCGTACTCGCTACGCAAAATGCATACAAGTTGGCAGGTCTGCGTAACATTCGAAAACATTTAAACTACTGAAAAAAAGAAATTTAAAGAAATTCTAAATTCGTTGTCTGCTGCCGATCACACTGCTCAATTTGCTCTATACCTGGCTCAGAACTCATGCCACAGGTTTTTATTACATATATTTCATATGCATTTCTCCTCACATTTTAACAAACTCCTCGTATGACATCTTACCTCAGATCTTGAGAACTCCAAGCTGAGTCCAGCAGAGCTCATAGATCCATTATTTCAGCATATTACGTGAATCAAACATACAAAAAAGCACACCTAAATCTTCACGCATCTCCAGTGCATGGCAAGTTAGGTCACAGCGCTGATTACTGGGAGCTAAATGCAGCTTTGTGTTTGGCAGCAGATAAGAGCCATGTGATGTCATGGGTGGGGGAGGATGAGGAGGCTGTGGCTCAGGTGTCTGTTTCCAAGAGCACTTGAGTAACAGAGGCCACTGCTGCTTACGGTGCCGTCTGATGCCTGTCTGGTTAATGTTCTCCTACCTGATGCTCTCAAAACCTGCGGTTATTGCTGTTTGCTCCTGCTGCTTTACTCCCTCACGGAATGGTTACCCTATTTATGGGTCAACATTTACCTGTAGCCTATTGCCTTACTGATGTCACATTGTAAAAACTGGAGGAGGAAACCCGGCCAAGAAACACTAAAAACAACACACATAACTAATCAATACAAATGATCAATTGGTCATTCCACCAGAGATTGAGAAACTACCATAAGCTTCAAGGGAACGTTTTTGTGTAACCCCTCTCTCCCGGGTCCTCACTGCCACACCTCGTTCTCGCTCCGAGTGGGTCTCCGGCATGGGAGGCGGGCGCACTAACAAGGAGGATAAAGAATGCAGCCTTTAGCGTCAGTCGCTAGTGCGTTTCTTGAGATCAAGGGAGTGAGGTTTTACCTGCACAGCACCTACTCGCTGGCCTCCGTTACACTCACCCCCCTAA